GCGGCGGCATGGGGAGAAGGTGCCCTCCGGCTGCCCACACTGCGGCTTCGTGTGCCACAGCGAGGCCACGCTCAAGTGCCACCTGCAGAAGCAGCACCCACACCTGGAGTGCAGCACCTGCAAGGAGACCTTCGCCACCCGGGAGGCTCTGGAGGAGCACAAGACGCAGCATTTCAGCCACCGCTGTGAGCTGTGCAGCTTTGCAGCCAAGGAGCGGCAGCAGCCGGGGGGGGGGAAAAACCACGAGCCGGCCGCCCCCCAGGACAAACCCCTGCGGTGCCCCTTCTGCGACTTCACCTGCCGCCACCAGCTTGTCTTCGACCAGCACATGAAGGGCCACGGGGGCACCCGCGTGTACAAGTGCTCGGACTGCGAGTATACCACCAAGAACAGGCAGAAGATCACGTGGCACATCCGCATCCACACCGGCGAGAAGCCCTACAAGTGCCACCTCTGTAAATACGCCTGTGCCGACCCTTCGCGTCTCCAGGTGAGAGCCCTGCTTGGGGATGGGGGATATACTCTACATCTGTGTGGGTTGGGGGGATTCCAGACACGGGGATTCGAGGAAGAAGAAGAAACTCCCAAAGGGAGGTTTTGTTCTCTGTCCTCTTCTGTGGCTTTTTTTGCAGATAAAACTCACATTGGGTAGAATATGTTTCTTCCCTGCTCCCTGCTGTTACAGATTAAGGGGCAGGAGGCATTTGTAGCAAAGCAAGAAGGTGGGCAGCTGTGTGACTTCACTCATCTTCCTGCTGGCTTCTCTTAACGTCCTCTGGGTGCAGCCTTACACCACTCAAAGCCAAGTTTGGCTGCGTGCTGGCTTGCAGCGTGCTCTGTGGCACCAGTTGGACTTGTTGCAGGGAAAGCTCAGCTTCCCTCCAAGCAGAGCCAGACCCTGCCCTCCTTTCTGTAGGTGATCAGCATCCTCATGCGTGGTAAAGGGCCCTTCCTGGAAGAGGAGGGCCAGGCATGGGGTAATGGAGGGAAAAATGATCTGGTTTTGCTAAAAGAAGTATTGACTTTTTTAATGGCCAGACTGAGCTGGAGCCCTCTGGGGCCACTTGAGCAAGGCTGCACGATGTGCTCAGCTCAGGGCTGGCTCCTTTGGGCTGGGTTTTAACTTGCCATAAATACCAAACTGGGGAGAGAACCCTTTGTCCCTCTGCAGGCTGGGACAGAGCAAGCTCGGCAGTACGGGGATCTCATCCTGACCCCACTGTGGGTCCCCCCTGCCCATAGTCTTCCAGGCAAGCAGCCAGCCCTCCTTGCCCCATGCAGTTTGAGATGTCAGAGCTGTCTTTGAGCCCCTCGCTGGCACCCTGGCACCCTGCACGTTCCAGGGCAGGTGGCATGGCTTCATCCTGACCATGCCCTCTTGCCCTATGCCCAGTACCACATGCGGATCCACAAGGAGGAGCGGAAATACCTCTGCCCTGACTGCGGCTACAAGTGCAAGTGGGTGAATCAGCTCAAGTACCACATGACAAAGCACACAGGTGAGTGCTGCCTGCTGGGGACAGCCTGTGGGGCACTGGGGAAGGCTTTGGGGCTGTGGGGACCCCAGCTCTGTGCTTCTTTTGCTACCAGGGGCCCAGCTGGAGGTGGGGGAGGACCCCAGCAGTTGGGGGCAGCACGTTCTCATGTGCTGGTGGGTTGGGGACAGTGCCCCAGGGCAGAAGGGAAGGTGGGGCGGTACAGACCCCAGGGCCCAAGGCGTGGTGCCTTGAAAATCTGGGGTTTTGAGGTGCCTGCTGGCAGGCTGTGTCTTCCGAGTGCAAAGGATGCTGTGCAGGGGTGTCCCTGGGGACTGATGCCATTATGGGGACAGCGAGACCCGCAGGAGGGAGGGCACCATACCCCCGTCTCAGCCCCTTCTCCATCGCTGCAGGTCTGAAGCCGTACCGCTGCGATGAGTGCGAGTACCGCACCAACCGGGCGGATGCCCTGCGGGTGCACAAGGAGACGCGGCACCGGGAGGCACGCTCCTTCATCTGCGAGCAGTGCGGCAAGGCCTTCAAGACCCGCTTCCTCCTCAAGACCCACCTGAAGAAGCACAGCGAGGAGAAGCCCTACGTCTGCAACACCTGCGGGCGGGCTTTCCGCTGGGCAGCCGGCCTGCGCCACCCCAATGAGCACCCCTTCTTCTGCCGCTACTGCTCCTACAAGGCCAAGCAGAAGTTCCAGGTCATCAAACACATCCAGCGGCATCACCCCGAGCGTGGGGCCGGCGACCTCAGCCAGGGGGTGGGCAAGGACCCTAGCACGCCCACTGTCCACCTCCACACTGTGCAGAGGGAGAGCCGGGCTGAAGGGCCCCCCAGGATGGAGCAGGAAGCAGGGTGCCCCGCAGAGAAGGATGCCATGTCACAGTGAGGCTGAATCCTGACTGCTTTAAGGCCCTGGTGGCACAGGGCTGCTGCAGAGACGTATGTTTGTGTATAGGCATATATGTATATGGGTTGTAACATAGGCAGCTGTATAAAAGGAATCTCTCAGCTCCTTTTAATACTGTTTCTTTGGGCTGTTTGGAGCCCTGTGTGAACAGTGGACCAGGTCCCCATGGGGAAAGAGCGCAAGCACGAGCCCAGCTCCCCGTCTCTCCAGCATCACTGCACCCAGACCCGAGCCTGCCTGTCACCAAACAATTTATTAGGTTGCTTACAGAGGAAGGAGGTGGCAAGGGTTAGTAATGGGCACCAGCCAAGAGCTGTGCTGGGGCTCTGCAGGGTCATGGGGCTGTACCAACTGACCCCTCTCCCAGCTCTGTCCAGCCCCGGGGTTTGCTCAGCTCCAGTGTTGCTCCGCTGGCTCGGGGGACTAGCTGCTGTGGCAGAGCCAGGGCATTGTGCACCATCTCTCCTCCTCGTGGCCAAGGCATGCCTGTGGGCCAGGGCAGGATGCACGTAGCAGGGCCAGGAGGCTGCACCAGCACAGACCCCGTGCTCATGCGTGAGAGGCAGCATCCCGAACCTGGGAAGAGGAAGTCAGTGCCTTTTCCCAGCCCTTGGAGGCCATTGCAAAGGGGGTCACAGCAGTGACAACAACACAGGGATGACACAAACGGCTCAACAAGAGGGTGATGTGGTTGGCTCTGTGGCCCTGGCTGCTCGGGGCCGGCTCTATGGCTTCCGTCTGGGTCCTGCTCCCACCACGGGCTCAGTCCTGCTGAGGGCTGGGCGGCTCGGTGATGTGGATGTGGACAAAGAGCGAAGAGGGTGGGATGCTGGTGCCATCCTTGGAGAGGAGATGGATGTGGCGGTAACCTGCAGGTGAGACAGCAAGGCTCTGGCTGATGGCTCCTCCCACCGCGCCCTCTGGCACCCAGCTAAGCCCAGACATCCCTGCGGGGCTGCCTTCGGCCCCCACCGCTGGGCACCAGCCACTCACCGGGTTTGATGTTGGCAAAGGCTAGGGTGAACTGGCCCACAAAGTCGTTCCTGGAGGTCTTGTCGTAATCCTCCACCACGAAGCGGACAAGGGCCAGCTCGGGCACGTGGAGCTGGAACTGGAGTGTCTCATCCCAGTGGGGGTTAAACCCTGGGAAGGGAGAGTGGGTGCTGGGAGGGTGAGGGAGGGATGGGGCTGCCTGAGCGCAGCGGGGTCCCTGATACTGCAGTGGGGCTCACCATTGTTCTCGATGTACTTGGTTTCCTGGTGTGCCTGGTCCACGGGGACCCCGTGGATCTCCACGCGCACCAGCGGGTCAATGACAGCTCCGACCTTGCTGTTGGCCACTTTGGGCAGCTGCTGCCCACTGATCACCTGCGGGAAGGGGCAGGGACCCTGTGAGCTGAGGAACAGCCTAAACAATCTGCTGGGAGGCTGCTTGGCTCCAGCACGCTGCCCAACGGTGTCTCCACTGGGCTGGCACTGACAGAGCCCGAGGATGCTGTCATGGCTCCCTGGGGTCTGTCCTTGGCCCCGTACCTGGATCGTCAGGGTGACAGGACCAGGGCCCTCCCAGCTGCTGGGGTCACTGGGGTTGAAGAGGGTCTCCTCGTCCCTCATGAAGGGCGGTTTGAGCACGTAGCCACAGCAGCCGTTCTGACTGAAGAGCCCATCGCACAGGTCCATCTCCATGCCAGCGGTCTGGAAGTTCAGGGCCACTGGGAGAAGGCAGCAGGAAAAGGGTTCAGGGTAGCCTGGAGACACCATGCCCTTCTCGGAGCTGAGAACCAGCCAGTCCCCATGGCCAGACAGATGCAGGGTTACACAGGGACAAGGCACTGATATCTGGGTACCCGCAAGCTCCCCAAAGCAGGGCAAGAGCCTACAGCCAGACCTGGCACCAGATGGGGTTGTAGCTGGCACCAACACGGATGTTGATGGTGCTACTTCGAATGGGACCCAGGGTGTCTCCCCAGCCTGCAGCCCTGATGCCCCCTGGCCATACCGATCTGACACCCCACGTTCCACATCTCCTGGGGGTTGTAGTTGGAGGAGTCGGTTCGCATCCCGCTGGGGTAGATGCGTGTGAGCTGCCAGGCGTTGTGGCGGACAAACTCATTCCCTAGGGATGGAGTGTGAGGGTCACTCATGGAGTCACTCCCTGGCCCACACAGCCACCCACAACATGCGCTGTTCATCCATCCATCCATCCATCCATCCATCCATCCATCCATCCATCCATCCATCCATCCATCCATCCTCCCATTTACCCACCCACCGACTAATTCTCGTCCCTCTCCCCTCCCAGGAACCCAGACGCGCTGCCTCACTTTCTAAGCCAATAACCTCCACTCACCCACCAGAGCCAAAACCTGGGGTACAGCCCCACTGGACCCCCCTGGACAAGGAGGGAACCCCAGTGTCTGGAGGCTCTAGGCCTACACCTGAGGAAGCCGCCCACCCATTCCACTCCGGTCCACTCCCCTGGCACCACTACCCCCTGTGCCTTACCCGCATCCCGGATGAGCTTCCTGGCCTTGGCTTCGGCAAGGGAAGAGATCTCGGAGGACCGGGAATGGCTGCGGGCCTCCTGGAAGCCTTGGAAGGCCACGCTCTTGCAGTAGATGACGCAGTCAGACAACGCCTGTGCCAGACTTTCCTTGTCCTTCTGCAAGGCAGGGCCATGTTGGGTCCATCCTGATGGGAACATTGTCCCCCAGTGCTCACCCAGGATGGGGCTTTAGAGTCCAGGGCAGCCAAGAGCCAGGGAGGTGCTGGTGGTGGCACCGTCCCCACTACAGGCAGCCTTCCTGCCAGAAATGGAGCAGGCAGGGGACCGCCAACACAGTGCCACCACGGTCCATAGCTTTGTCCAGAGGGTCAGTGCTCCTGGCTGGTCCCCAGCCTGGGCCACCCACCTTCACCCTCCGCCTCTCCTCCTCTGCCTCTGCCCCATTATCATCGTCAGACACATCAGGCGCCTCATCCTCTGGCCCATCCAGCATGTCCTCCAGCCGCCCAATCTTCTTCCCCTTCAGACAGCTCCTACGGGATTGGGGATGGAGAGGTAGTACCCATCTCGGGGTACCCATCTCCTCCATGGGACTTGCTGTCCCCCAGGACCCTACACTGCTGGGGGCCAGTACCACCAGCACCCAGGAAGGGACAGAGTAGGAGGGCTCTGCTCTGCTGTCTGCCTCTCCAGGGCATGGGGAGACAACCTTGGGAACAGCTTTGGGACCCCTGTGAATGAGAGGACACAGTGTCCCCAGGGACTCCAAGTGCTCCAGCAGAGCAGGACAGTGCTGAGATAGGATGCTTTTCCTCTGGACAGCAAAGCCACCTCCTCACCCCACTCCCAGGCAGGACAGCGATGCCCAGTGCAGCTGTGCTCTGTCCCTACCTCTGGGGACGGGAGCTGGGTGGGGATGCGCCCATCAGTGGTGGTGGTAAGGAGCTGTTCCCCCAGGATGGTCTTGAGCTGCTGGGCCAGGACCTCCTGCTGCTCCATGCTGCAATGGTTCTCCAGGGACAGGATTACTGGGTAGTCTGAGGTCTGGGGAACAACATGCACAGCTGGAGATCAGCCTCAGCGGGGTTAGGGAGCTCTCACAAGGGCTTTGCCCAGGCGTGATCAGTGTCAGGATGGAGGCCATTGTGTGTCCTTGTATCCCCCTGAGACCTTCGTGCACCTCCAATCCCCCAGCATCCCCCATATCCCATCTCACCCCCGCATCCCTCAGGCCCCATCTCACCCCTGCGACCCCAGCAGACCATGGTCCCTGGCCCAGCAAGACACAGGGCCATGGGTCAGACCCCCCATTGCCCTTTCCCGGGAAGAGACACAGCCACCCTCCTCACCCGCAGCGAGACCAGACCTGCTGCAGCACCAGGCGTGTGACCCTCAGCGCTGCTCCCCCTCCAGAGACCCATCACGGCCCCAAATCACAGCCTTGTGCCCCCCAGCTGCTGCGGGCCACCCATGACAGCCAGCACCCAGAGAATGATGCCCTACCTTGAAAGCGTACTTCCCCAGTGTGCTCACTACCTCCCGGAAAGGGATCTTGGAGGTGAAGGTGTGGCCGTGGTACACCACGGGCTCCCCGTTCGGCCCATCCCAGCAATCCACCTCCAGGCACCGGCAGCCCCGTTTCAGAGCCCTACGGGTGGGTGGTCACCCCTGGGACCCCGCGCCCAGACAGGACACCAGCCCCCTGCCCACCCCTCTGCCTGTGGGTGTCACCCTTGCAGGGACCAGGGGACAACCACCTATGGTGGAGATGCTGCCTCATGCAGGGCAGGAAGAGGTGGGCTCAGCATCCCCAAAGTGGACCTCCTTGCTGGACACCACATCACATGGCCACATGCTGAACCACGAAGGAGGCAAAGGAGCTTCTAGGTTTGCCCCATGGAGCTGCCTAGGACATGGCACTGGGGCAGGAGGGTGCCTGGGGCAGCTGGGAGGGAGGAGCCCCTTTACCTGATGTAGCCCTCAATGCTGCTCTGGCCCCGGATCTGGTCCTCTATCAGGTAGGTGTTGTGGGAGGAGGAGATGAGGTAGTGGCAGAGCGGCTGGCTCATGTCCTGCCACAGCGCCCGGTGCCGAGGGTTGAAGATGGAGCCCTCCGGGGAGCAGAGGTACATGAGGAATCCATCAGCACTCAGCGCATGGCGAGCCCGGGCTGTAGGTGGAGGGGAAGGCCCAGTGACAGTCAGGGACTCAGAAGGGACAGGATCTGTCCTCAACAGGCCTGCTGGTGGCTCCCGGCATCCCCAACCTGGTGGATGCGACTGCTGCCAGAGTCTGGGGCACAGGTTGAGATGCCCTAGGGCACCAGATGTGGGAAGGTAGACAGCAGACCCCAAAGCCAGAGCTTGCACCCCACGGTTGGTCAACCTTCTACACCAAAATGGTCCAGAAATGGACCAAAAGAAGGGGAACTGCACACAGATCGCACCATGGTGAGCCTTCCCCCTGTGCCCAT